TAGGACCAAATCAAGGATCGCCTCTCCCCTGGTAGGTTCCGTGACCATCTGCTCCATAGCACAGTCATTTAGAGTGTCTAGAAACTCAATCTCTTTTTCCCGACTAGAACACATATTGACCCAATCAGTGTGTGGGTAGTTAAAATCACCTATTATGACACAGTGTTTTTGTCTAGCTGCTATCTTTAAGGCATTCATCATTTTATAATCCTCCTCTATCTTTTGATCTGGTGGGCGATAACAAACTCCCAGTGTTAAGTTTCCTTTTGGCCTCCCTATTTCAACCCATAGAATTTCCAGAAGCGAATCCACTTCACTTAGCCTCTCAATCTTTCTAGACTTTATACCCTCTCTGACATACAGAGCCACTCCACCTCCAACCCTTCCCCCCCTATCCTTCCGATATAATATATAACCGGGAATCACCGTGTCCCACTGATTTTCCTCATCCCACCTTTGTCAGGCAGTCCATGTCACTAGCCATGGCCTCTGTGGACAATTTCAATCCACCTCCCTGTAGAAAAGCAACAGGTACCCCCTCATCTCTCTCAGATGAGCCAACCCGAACCAGAGACTTTTCATCTCCTGTCGGCTTTCCCCCAATATTAAGTTTAAAAACTGCTCTGCCACCTCTGGAGTCAAGTCTAGATTAATTGTTAACATTTCTGCTATTAGTTTTTGGACCTCTTTCCAAAGTGAGGGGGAGTGGCGATATTCGTGCAGGAGGCTTACTCCTTCAGGGCACTCCCTACGTTGGGGATTGTGGGCTTAGAGTGTGTTGGTCTGGTGCTGGAGGCCGAGGAGAGTTTGGCAATCTGGCTGGTGTACCGTCCGCCTAACGCGGCGGCCAGTTGCCTGCTGTCCCTGCTGGAGGCTGTATCAGGCTGGGCGCTGGAGCACCCTAGGCTCTTAGTCTTGGGTGACTTCAATGTCCATGCCGATGATGCGACCTCTAGCCGGGCTACGGACCTAGTGACGTCCATGGCATCGCTGGGACTCTCCCAATGTGTATCGGCCCCTACACATCAGCCAGGGCACACGCTCGATTTAATCTTCACAATGGGGATTACAGTGGACCGGATCACTGTGAAAGCAGTGCCATGGTTGGAACACTATGCCCTGAAGGCCCGTGTGAATGTCCCACCCCGACCCTGTATAGGTGGCGAGCGGATTTTAGCTCACTCGCGGAGCCAGATGGACCCATTGTGGCTTCAACTGGCCCTGCAGTTCCACATCCGATGCTCCCTGGCGGTTCTTTGGATGAGCTCGTGGATGACTGGCATTGTTGACTTTCCATGGCCATCGACATGATTGCTCCCCGGTGCCCTCTGCGCCCTCGCTCTAGGCTGGCCCCCTGGTATACCCAGGGGCTGCAGCTGATGAAGCAGGAGCTAAGATGGTTAGAGAGACTGTGGCGCCGAGCCCATGACGAGGCTACAAGAGCATCCTATAGGACGTTTATGAGATCCTATGAGATGGCAGTCAAGGCTGCGAAGAGGGATTTCTACGCAGCCAGGGTTGCGTCCGCTAGCTCTTGCCCAGCCCAATTATTTAGAACAATTTGGTCTTTGACGGCTCTGCCACAGGGCAGACAAAATAGTAGGGAATTGGACATTGGCTGTGAGGCTTTTGTGAGCTATTTTGAGGATAAAGTCTTGACGCTTCACTGCAACCTCCCCGCCACAGTTGAAAC